CGTCGAATCTGAATCACTTGAAAAAACACGGGGGTGCTTAACTTTTTTCCAGGTGTATACATGATGAGCATAGTCTTTAGATTTCACCCTTATCAATTTTATGCCTATGGAGCTACCTAAGGTATTTGATTTACTGAGACAAACTTGTGTACTTCAGAGTGACTACACTACAGAAATCAAACATAAAGGAAAGAGCATTTAATGTTTTTTTTAAATCTTGTAGACACTTGTTAGCAGGTTTCTCCAGTGTAAAAACTACCAGTCTTTACATGTAATTTGATACAAGGATCCTGCAGTGGCTTGTCTATATATATCTGCACAATCAAATTTGTTCTAGCTTTCTTGCTAGTAAGAAAAAAATTTCACATCTAAATCCATGTTGTATTACTTAATTATTTTTAATCAAGTTTTCAGATGGCATGTGAAGGATGGTATAGCACAAGAAAAAGTTGTATTTTCAAAATCATTGATTGTATCTTCAAGTTATGATTAGTTTTTCCCGGGGATGACAATAAAGTTTTATTTATAACTGTGAAAGGATATATATACTTTGTGAATTAAATTGTGATTTTAACACATTTATTTCTCTCAAAAAAGCCTGTTGAGAGGAACAAATATTTCAAGTCTTTATGGTCTCTATTTTAGGTTTAGGATCATGGAATGAATACAAACTCCAGAATGTATGTCTTTATGAAAAACAGTGGAACAAAATCCATTTTAATTTTTTCAAACAAAATCCTATCAATTTCATTTTCAACTGTAAGTGTGATGTTTGAATGCATTGCATTCAATTGTGAAAGAAAACTATTGATGTAACCAATTTTCTTAAAAGCTGTAAAAATGTGATGTAAATAACAGATCTATAAAGTTGGAGGATGGAGTGAAATTTCTTCAATTCTGACCAGGAATAAATTAGTTAAAATACATCAAACTGGATTTCCGATGCTTATATTTCTGATCTGATCTTAATGAACATTGTGAAATAGAAAAGTTACATGAATAGCTGAAAAGCAAAAAATTTCTTTGATGATGGAAACATATAACAAAGATCAGGTATGAAGTAATTTCAGAGCACAATGAAATGCTTCTTTAACAAGCACTTGTATGAATAGGATTTTGTATTTCAAAGTTCACAACAGAAACAAAGTTCAAACCAGACTGAAGCACAAAATGTAGGAATGAAGAGCTGTAATAATACAACAGTAACAAAGAAGAAAAACCCATGTGACAAACAAGATATGGATATTTTCATTCTCAAAGAATAATAAATCTCTACTTTGGGACATGCATAAAAAATATAAAAATTCACTAAATACACCATCCACAAGTGAAACCTTTTAGAGCTGTGCAAAAATAAAAGCTAAAACATTTTCAATATATA